CCTTCCCAGCCATGGAATCTGAACTATTCGTTGTTCTTTGTTGTTATTCTTTTTATTCTTATTATTGTTTTTCTTATTATTATTATTATTATTATTATTGGGGTGCAGAGATCAAGGTGCAGAGGTGTACGGAGTGCGAGAGCAAGGGGCCGTTCACGATCAACACGGAGCAGACGGCCTACCGGAACTACCAGAAGATCACACTCCAGGAGAGCCCGGGCACGGTGCCGGCCGGCCGGCTCCCGCGCACGAAGGACGTGATCCTCCTAGCCGACATGATCGACTGCGCGTCGCCCGGCGAGGAGATCGAGGTGATCGGCGTCTATCGCAACAACTTCGACGCCTCGCTTAACACCAAGAACGGCTTCCCCGTCTTCGCCACCATCATCGAGGCCAACTGTACGCATTCCTCCAGGCCCGTGCGAGTGTTGTGTGCGTGTGCGTGTGCGTGTGCGTGTGCGTGTGCGTGTGCGTGTGCGTGTGCGTGTGCGTGTGAGGAGATGGGACAACGCTGCGCTGAGTTCGCTAACGTCCCTGCTTTGTCGTGCGCCAGGTGTTACCAAGAAGGAGGACCTCTACGCGTCGTTCCTGCTGACGCCCGAAGACCAGGCCGAGATCATCAAGCTGTCCAAGGACCCTCGCATCGGCGAGCGGGTACGTGACATCCGCTCACACACCACCCACCACATACCTACCACCTTCTTTTGCAACAACAGACCTCAACCTTGGGAATGCATGGAATTCTAATGGTGATTCATTTGTAGATCATCGCGTCCATCGCGCCTTCCATCTATGGACACGAGGACGTCAAAACGGCCCTGGCCCTGGCCCTCTTTGGCGGCGGTACGGTTATATTTCTTTTTATTAGTTATTTTTATTTTATGCATTTATTTATTATGTGCATTGCCCGCCCACGGCTTATTTATTTATTTATTTTTAATGTATTCCACGGCTTTGCTGCGAACGCAGAGTGTAAGGAGTTCGACAAGCAGAAGCATCGGGTGCGTGGCGACATCAACGTGCTGCTGGTGGGCGACCCCGGTACGGCCAAGTCGCAGTTCCTCAAGTACGCCGAGAAGACCGCGCACAGAGCTGTCTACACAACGGGCCAGGGCGCCTCCGCCGTGGGGTACGACCGCCGCCTGGTGGACACACACCGCACACGACACGACACGCACGACACGCACTCACAACTCACGACACGACACGCACGACAGTCTCACCGCGGCGGTGTGCAAGGACCCCATCACGGGCGAATGGATCCTCGAGGGCGGCGCCCTCGTGCTGGCCGACAAGGGCGTGTGCATGATCGACGAGTTCGATAAGATGACCGACAAGGACAGGTAAAAGAGCAACACGACACGCACACGCACCACCGCACGCACACACACGCACACGCACACGCACACGACTGACGTGGTACGCGGTGGTGCAGGACGTCCATTCACGAGGCCATGGAGCAGCAGTCCATTTCGATCTCCAAGGCCGGAATCGTCACGACGCTCCTGGCCCGCTGCACCATCATCGCCGCGGCCAACCCCATCGGCGGCCGCTACCGGTACGCAACACCTCCGCACCTCGCCTCAGCGCTCAGCTGACGAGGCCTCTTTCTTGCTCCGCGCTCGCGTGTGCGTGGCCTCACCTCCCCCCCTCCTCTGCATCAGGCCTGCGCTTTCCTTTGCCCAGAACGTCGAGCTCACCGAGCCCATCATGTCCCGCTTCGACATCCTCTGCGTGGTACGACCATCGCGTCGTGTGTCGTGTGTCGTGTGTCGTGTGTCGTGTGTCGTGTGTCGTGTGTCGTGTGTCGTGTGTCGTGTGTCGTGTGTCGTGTGTCGTGTGTCGTGTGTCGTGTGTTATGTTCGCGTGTCGCGTGTGGCGCGCCTGGTTGACGCAATCCGACACAGGTGCGTGACACGGTGGACCCGATCGTGGACGAGGCCCTGGCCGAGTTCGTGGTGGGGAGCCACATGAACTCCCACCCGCACAGCGAGCGCCGCGAGACCACACACAACAACAAGGTACCCGCCCCGCCCGCCCCGCCCGCCCACCCCGCGCGCGCGTCGATCGCTGAGCTGGTCGCTGGGTCGCAACACAGAACGAGGACGGCTTCGCGCTGTCGCAGGAGCTGCTGCGGAAGTACATCACCTACGCGCGGAGCAGGTGCCACCCCAAGCTGCGCAACATCGACCGCGACAAGGTGGAGAACCTCTACGCTCAGCTCCGTACCGAGTCGCTGGTACCCCCCCCTCTTCTGCCAATCTCTCAATGAACGCCCCTCACCGCGAGGCCTCCTCCTGGTGACGTGTGTCTAACACGAACGTGGCCACAACGCGCGCACCACACCGCACACGCGCAACAACGAAACAAAGG